CGCGGGAGTCTCCCGAGGAGGCGGACCAGAACACCGATTTTAATCGAAGTTCTGGTATTCGATGAACACAATCACAGGCGTGATATTCGAGAGTGCGATCATCACGATCCTTGCTCTCGGATCGGGAAACGGAATGCTTATCACGATCCTAACAGATACCAACCTCAAGTTCAGGAGCGGAACACATGCTGACATTCTGAGAATTTCAATACAGAGGCGAAATAACGGCGCTGTCGGAGCCGACAATAATCGAATTCAGCATGTTCAGGAGCGGACCGGAGCATTGCGGCAGCTTTTACGGATCTGGGACGTTTCTCTTCGCCGCACCCGGAGACCGGCCTGCGACTCGAGAATTCGAACAGGACCTGAAGCTTCTTCCCGACTCCTTAAAATCATCGAACTCTTAACCACGGAACTTGAGAGACGGAACTCCATGTTCCCGACGGCTCGACCTGAATTTTCACGTTCATCAGTTTGCCATCATTGGCATTTTCCCCCAACTAATTCCATCCTGAGGAGGTAGCTAGCTTTGCGAGCGGAGAAGAGGAATATGGAAAAACCGTCTGAACTATTCCTGTCGAATGTAGTCGAGGAAGCAAATGCTGAGGATTCCCCCATGACGTGAGGAGAAAAGAGATGCTGAGCACGCGGATCTCGAGACGAAGGGGAAGAAATCGAATCTCTGCATCAAAATAAGGTACAGTCAGCCACTGTGTTCTGTCACGGGAAGTTCCCCGAGCGGAATGATCTCCTGAAATTTCGAGGCATCCCGGAACACTCGCAATAAAACTGCGAAGCATGCCGGAAGCGTTGTCGGCAACGCGAGAGACACGTCGGAATACTCGCGGTCGAGAATTGATTCGGGAGATATGTTCGACTTCCATCAACAGAGAAAAACACTCTGACTACGAATGTTGCTCGCCGCATTCCGACAAGCTCTCCGTGAACTGATGAGATATCGAGTCTCCATGCGTCCGCGGTAGACCTCAATATGGATAAGGGATACGTATTACGACCTTCGAAGCATCAGGACTAGAATCGAACGGGCCGTATTGCAGGCGACGCGAAACATGACAAGACACGTACTCGCACGGCTGCGGCGTCCTCCACTGCGTCGTCGCAATCTAACGGAGACTGAATTACTTTCTGTCTCGATCTCGAGCTGGGCTCGGAGAGTTGCTGCGGTTTTTATCGAAGCTATCAACGAACGCGGAGAGGCAGCGATCAAATATTTGGTCGGACAGCCGCTCTGGCCAGAGCAAAGAAAGAGAAATAAACTCTACCAAATCCTTGGCTGACCGAGAAAACGGAATTATTGGGTTTGCCCGCGCCTCCTTCATCATCACTTCTAAGCTTGCTTGCTGCGACGTCTGTTGGCGGCACTAATCCGCTGCTGCCGGATGAGCGAGCGGCCGAGTAGGCGATTCCGTAGCACAGAACCCCCGCGGAAATTACTCAAGCGAGTGGATGTTCCGAATGTCCATCAGGCTCTTAGCAAATGATGTTTCATGCCATGCCGTTCGACCGAATCCAGCGAGCATGCAATCGTTGCGGTCGTCAAAAGATCTTTCTCGCTGTCTCGCCTGATTCACCAGAGCAGGCCAGCGATGAGGTCCAGCGATCATCCGAGAGGACAGTCTGCGTAGCCACCTGCGCAATAGCGGGTAGGCCTGCCGCGGTCCGGGCCTCGCCTGAAATAACTGCGCGTCATAAATGGCAACAAGTGTTCCGGGACCCACGAGGCAGGCCTTCCTGTTGTTTCTGCTGCTCCTGCTGCATATTGAGCCGTGGTCCTCCCCTGTGCTGTTTTTCTTCTTCACCATGCTCGCCCTGGAGTGAAGGCTCCTGGGTTTCTATTACACAGTACACCACACAAAGGCCTGGATTCATTGCTTTCGGTATGCGTGTACGTGTAGCACCTCCTATAAGTAGGACCGATCCTTAGAGTTCAACCTCTGCGGCTCCGCATCGCACGCCGCTCGCTCCGGCTCCGCACGAGCTCCATGCATGTCATTACCTTATTCCCGTACATCTAATCGAATTTGCGTGCTCCCGCTCGATATCGTTCCCCGATTCTATGTTGCACGGTTTGTATTCGTCGAAATCATACCGAGCGGATCCTCAGCTCCGATTTTGAAGACAGCAGAACGGTTAACGTTTTTTTTTTTGCGATCCGGATTGACTCCCGAAATGCGAGATTTCGCTTCTTGCGCGGAGAACCGTGTCGGATTCCGGATTGCCTGGATGACTTAAACCGTGGAGCTGTTCCGATGCGGGCAGTTGATCGATAATAGTTATTCATTCATCTGGACCGCTGCGGCCCGATTTCCGCAATTCTGGAGCGAAGAAGACTAACATCATCGATCTCCCGACCCCTCATCCCGTAGTTCCGGAGCGCATCGCCGGAGGCGTCTGGGTTTTCCCCGATCGGACGTTCACTCTCTGGGAGCGTGAGCGGGACAAAAGGGAACGAGGGAGGGAGGATATTGATCTTCTTCTCAGACCGAGACCACGAGTTCCCGACCTGTTGCCTCGGCACAAAGGAAAATACAAGGCGGCATGCCTCCGTCGAAGATGAAGGGAACGCCTTGACCTTAGCAGCCTGCTGCTAGTGACAGTTTGTTGTGGTTATTTTGGCTGACCCGGCGAGCGAAAACGAGCCGCCGGCGCCGCTACGGAGACATCGGGCGTTTCGGAAAGGCGACGGGCTCCGCCGAGCGGGAACAGGGTTACAGGAACCAAGGGAATCGGAGGTGGGTAGAAAGCACATGGTGAGGTCGGCATTACGGATGAAGAATTCGATTCGCCGCTTGCTACAGAGGAAGAGGGTCAATGTCACGCGGGCGCCTCGGCGCGCGGCTCCCGCTCTCCTTGGCAAGCATTTCTGCTATGGCGGAGGGCGGAAATCTCGGGTGTTCATGACTCATGACGGAGCGGCCACGCAGATTTTCCATAGGCTGCGTTCCTCGTGATTATCCGCGTTTCCCAGACGTTCCGATTCCACCCCGAGTGACCGAGCAAAGTCATTTACGCATTGGCGAAATTCAATCAGGAGAAGTACCTCAGGGCTCACGATTGAGAAACACTGTGACCGAATCCCTGAGAACGGGGAAGTCGCTTCTCAACTCATGTTCAGCTGTCGAGCCTTCTGCGGGCTGAGTCCTTGAACTGAGCTCCGTCAGCGACCCGTCCCGGAAACTCTCGCGAGACACGCAGCCGTTCAATAGATTACTCGCTCAATCGGCAAAATTGCTCAGGGTGAAAAGCGGACAGAAGAACCAACGGCGGGAGTGATGAAGATGACGAAAATTCATCTGCCAACCGCGCAAGAAGGACGGAATTCACGTCTTTCAAACGCCTGGCAACCATTTCACCTCTCTCTTCGTGAAGGGTTCTCTCGGTCGCGATGGAGGCGAACTCCATTCCTCTTGGGGTCTCTCAATTCTCAACACTCGACGGGAACTTATTTCCCAAACATTCTCCGCGCTCCGCCTCCTGCTGTGCTCTCTTCCTCGTCCGAGAACACGTGGGAACGCGTAGCCTTGTCGAGATCCACTTCTTTGTCCACGGAGTCGTCGAGCAACAATTCAATCCGATTCCGGACGGAAAGCTGCATTTGTTCCCTGACGACGATGAGACACGGCTCGGGGAGCCTGGCGAGAGTCTCAGAAGATGAGCCTGCGTGTTCGATCCCTCCTCGATTTTTCCATATGCGTTTTCGCATGCTCGACGCACTGAGTGAGTGAAGAGTCCTGGCCGGCGCAACCGAAAAGTGAACCAACGACTTCGAGTTCGACCCAGGGCTCCGACTCCATTTAGTTCCTCGCGGGAGCCTCGGAAAAGAGTGGAAGACTGTCCATAGTTTGGAGCGAGCAAGAGTTTCGGCGTTTCCCGCTTGAACGTAATTTGACTTTCACAATCTCGCGGAAAATGCGTAGACTGCGAGAAAATACGGCCATGGTATATCGTCACAGCACCCGGAGCGCCCTTGTCGGATCCTGACTCTGTCCGCCCATACGTTGTCGGGCTGTCCCTAGTAGTGACAACAACAACGACGACGACAATAACTGAAACGAGAGCCGAGTGCGTGTAAACACATATGCAATCCACAATTCAACGCCCCTTTCTCGAAACGTCCACAGAGAATGGCTTTCCGCCGGCAGCTCACGCGGCGCTTAGAGATGTGCATAGTCTGGCGAGAGAGGTCGGGAAGTCATCGAGATGGAGTGTTTCCTAAACTGCGGGGATAACGGGGAACAGAAGCAGACGGGCGACGGTCCGAAAGGAAATAGAGAAAACAAAAGGAGCGACTCCCCGGGAAGATCTCGAGTGCGCGTAATTATGTTCAACACCCGTCCAATCGCCTGTTGGCGGCGTAAATCAGCGGTGCAATACTCTTTCTCCCGAAGGAACGCACGACGGACATATCCTCCAACGCAGACTTGCTAACCCGACGCATTCGGTGCCCGGATTCGGCATAAGTGCAAATAGCTTTAGGTCTGCTGCAGGGAGGGGGAGGGGCGGTTTGGATTGGAACGGGTAGAGTTGTAGGGGATCGGATTGAGAGGGAGAGGCAGCGGATGGGCGCGAGCTGAAAATTGCATCCGAACGCAATAAGACGCAGACACTGCTCGCCTTGCGCCAACTAAACTCGGGAACCCGTGGACTGGGAAGTTTTCGCCGAACAGCGTCGCTAGTCCATCGGTGGAATATGTTGGACTTTCTCATCAGTGATAGTTCCGAATCGGAGCATCGACGGGGAGAGGAATCACGAGTCGGCTCCACAAACGTCGACCTCGTGAAATATTCACGAGTGGCTGGGCGTTCAACGATGCTCGAGGACAGCAAAGTTCTGAAATTCGGAGCGGACTCTTGTCAGAATCTGGCTGTCCTTCGTCTGAGAAAATTGAGTGGAAGAGTCCACGGACGGCGCAGCGGAAGAAAGCGGCGCGAAGACGATGGGCAGAAAGGGAACTCGGCACGTTTCTCCGCTCCCCAACATGGGGCACGGCAACATCAAATTTCCTCTGTAGGTTCCTCCTCCCAGCTTTCTTATGGCTGTGAGCTTCAGGCCAGAGCGAGTATTCATTAGGAGCATCAATCTTCACCTGAAGAAGCACACGGGCGTATTCGAGCCTTGCGCGTGTATTCCCGCCGCGAGACCTCGTATTCATGTCTCTGACTGAGTGGTGGACATATTCGCGCATGCCGTTATAAGCGCTGCGTGGGGATGTCTGGAAATCATACGGCGAGAGTCATGAATAACCTCTCAAAGCTTTGCTTGATTTCTCGCTCGCTCGCTCGTTGGCGGCGTCTTTGCTCGGCAAGTCGCCGAGTCGTTCGGGTCAAGAAGCGATGTTAATTACATTACGAGAGCCCGCTCCGTCGCCTCGTTCCCATGTCGGTGCGTCGATCATCGCTCCTCGCGTCCGAGCTCTATTGATTGGGAGGTTCACCGCTATATTCGTTGCCGTTAGGTCGAGGAGATTTCTGTTGGGGAGCGTTAGACTTCCCTCCGACCCGACTCGCCCTATCGAGTGAGCGTCCTTGGTGCGCCATGGAGTGTTCTATCTGACGATCCAGCGGGTGTTGGCAGTACATACGCCGCTTCTGTTCCTTGTCGGCTCCCTAATTCGCAAATCGGTGTCAACTTCCGCTTCGACCGTATCTTTACAACTCAAAGGGAGTTATTCTTCAAAGACCAATCGGCGAAGAAGTTTCGCTCGTGTTGGGCAGGTGAATCCTTGCCATTTTGGAATCAGTGACTTAGTTGTTTGTCACTAAGCTGGCGGCGCGGTGGGGCCCTCCGTCTTCCGTCTCGGAAACATCGAGACGAGTCGCCTCATGCTCTCGGAGACTGCTGTGTGCTTGGTGCAAACTCACGTAATCAGAGTTGCGCTAATCATCAGTGCAACTGTTGTGAAGTCGACAACAGGCCCTCGTTGTCTGAATTAGATTAGGGACTCGGCCGTGCTACGCGTTGTGACCCCTCCACACATCGAAACAACGATTGACTACAATAGATTGGGAGACGAAGCCGAAGACAGAACTCGAGCGTTCGGCTCTCTCCCGAGTTGTGCGACAAGGAAAAAACTAGGCCGTCCCGGAGCTCTCTACGAACGACTAAAACGAGAAGTTCGAAAAAGACAGAGCTCGATCGACTTGAGAAACCGATGCACGTTGCCCCTCTCGCCATGTTTGCGGAGCACAAACCCCATCGAAAGCTCGCACCTCGGGCTGCTCTCAAACTTACCGGACGAAACTTCCGCGTCCTACCACGTAGGTCTCAAGGAGACTCGTCGGAAGGCCGAGCGATTAGGCGGACTCGGGACGGTCGGGCACACAATGCGCTGCTTGATAGCTCCGTCTAGATCTCACTGTGTCGGGAAGTCCAAGACGTGTACGGAATCATACCCACAACCCGCCGTGATTCACGAGCCGCCCCGCTACACCACCTACACTAGCTAAGATCGACGTTGAAAAGTTTCCGGATCGACTGACTTTCGAGACCGGAGAAGGGACTGACTTCTGTGTCTCATTTTTTCTCCTTGCAGATATGTCAAAGCTTTCGCCTCGTTCAGTAGTTGCATCTGTAGTTTGTGTTCATTTCTCTGTTCGTCGTCAGCCACGGCAGAAATTGTTTCGTCTGAGTTCGGTTGTTCCGGAGTCCGCCCGACTCCTGAGGACGATAACAACAACAACAACCACCACCTTAAGGAGGACAAGGGCCAGTTCGAGATGACCTTTTCGGCCTCTCGGCATAGTCACGAGTCATCGGCATCAACGGCAATGGCTAGCAGTCCGGCACCGATAGCTACTCCAGGAGGGACTTTATCACGAGCCAGCTGTGAGAGCTCGCTCGACGAAGAACTCCCAATCGATCTGACGCACCTAACTCTGGAGGAACAGCGACACATTCTCGCTGTGATGGCCAGAGACGAGGCGCTCAGAAAGATGCAGGAGCGTCGAATCCTGTGAGTATTGTTTCGTGTTTATTATATTTCAGAGCAGATTTTTTCCAGGAAGTTTCGCCAAGAGTTCGTAAACCCCTCCCCTGGTACTCGCTCGACCACTGTCGGGAACTCCTAATCCAGCTGCGAATTTCGCCGCCGGCGGCGCGACGGCTTTTATTTGCGTCACCGAGGGCGGCTGAGCAATCCTGTCAAGTTGATCCGCTGACTGGGGTAAACTCGAGGATCTTTCCAAGTTTCTCACGATTCGGAGCAGGGAGGCGGTTGTTGCGACTTGCGAAAGAGCCTCATCGTCGGGACGCGAGCTTATTCAATTGAACCCGAATCCGGAGAGTTCAGTCTTGGCTGTAGGCAATTCCTAAAGCAAGTTCATCGGAATCTCTCGGGGAGATTTGTCGAGCTCCGAGACGATTATCGGCTCTCCCCTCTGTCTCGAGAAGTTCATCCTGGATCCGAAACTCTCGATTCCGGATCTAATCCAGATCGGGAAACTCTAGCGTTGGCGGGGAACGACTCTCCCGAGAGGGTTCTGTCGTGAACCGCGCAGTTTCCCGCCAAATGTTCGAACTGAGACCGGAACTCGCTCTCGTAGCAGTCGCATCGTTGCTGGGCCCTGTGTGTTCAGCAGTTCACCAGCGGCGGCGGCTGTGTCGGTGTGGACAACAACACATGTTCGCGCAGTAACAAACTCGGACGGACTAATCGGTGTTGTCTCCGTGCGAGTGAGAGCTTAATTGCGATCCGATTCGGACTCCGGAAGTCACTCGGAGATCATGGCACTGTGTGCGCGAGTCCTGAGGTGGTCTCCGAGGACCAGCGGTCTCAGATTGATGTCCGGGGGATCGACTGAGAACATTTTCGCCGATGAAGAGAACGTGTTGACTGAAGAAGAAATCGAAGCGAAGCGGAACATCGCGAGAGTCACAGACAGATTCTACCTTCGAAAGATGAAACGCGAGTACACCGCTAAGTTCTCCGAAGACTTCACCATAAAAGCTCTACGAAAAGATTACGTGTATTTCGGCGAGCAGTCCGGCATCAATCCCGGAGTTTGTTGGCCGAACAAAGAGGAGATGGCCGACTTGCATTACGCCGAGGAAAAGTTTTTCAAGAGTTTCGATACTTTGAAGAGTGAGCTAGCGGAGAAAAAGGAAGCAGAGAGGCGGGCTCGCGTAGAGAGAGAACAATCCATCGACGAAAATCTCAGCAAACTCGACCAGTGGCGCAAAGAAATGTTGGCCAGGGAAGAGAAAGCCAATCAAGAAGCAGCGAAGAAACAAGCCCATATGGACGAACTCATCCGTGAGGTCCGGGAGCATATCGGATACAATCTCAGCCCATCTGATCCCAAATTCAAAGAGGTTATGGAGATGAAGGAGGCAGAGCGCAAGAAGGTCGAAAAAGAAGCCAAGAAGCAGCTCAAGAAGCAGAGAATGATGGAACGTCTCCTGAAAGTACCAAAAGTTTCCGACGAGCTGCCAAGAACCCCGGAAGATGAAACGCGAAAGCCTGATTCTAAGCCCACGTCGGACGACGAAGCTTCCGGAGCTCCAAAGTGATAATATTTATCGGAGGCCAATGTTTAAATAAAAAATAGTTTCTCCCATACTTCGCGAGTTTCCGTCCCCTCCTCCCCCTCCTTTCCATTGGGGAAATAATTAATTTCTCCCTAGCCCGACGTCACTCTTCACGGGAGTTTCTCCTCCGGGCCGAGTTGAACTCAACTCTGCGCGAGCACCCCACTTTTTTTTTACTGGGGGATGCCATCTCGCGACAGAGCTCTCAGACGGCGGAGTGAGGCACTCGATGGAGACGCAATGGAGGCGAGGAATTCATGGCGGGGATCTGTCGGGGCTCATATTCAGCAGATTGGACCGCAGACTAACAACGAACGCGGACGAACGAGCGATAGCCAGGACAAGTGTCTCACTGGGACATTGCCTCTCTTATTCATGGAGTCGCGAAGAATATGGTCATGTATCGGGGTCGTCGTACGTGTGTGTAATATTCATTGCTGTACCACAAGTCGCGATCCGAACCCATGCGCGCCAGCTCCGACCGAGTGTTCTCCGGCGAGGATGGCAAACAACAAGGATAACCGCAACGAGCTCGAGACGGCGAACGCCGACGGAAGCGACATAAATCCGCCGGATCGAGGGACTCCGACTTGAACCGTTCGCTCAATTTGTCACAAGTCCAAGCGTATGAATCATTGATCCCAACATCGATTGCAGCTCACGCAAGCGTGCGTGCATGCACGCCAAGTACGGGCGGAGACTCCCTACCGCGTCCGACGCTCGCTCGTCGTTTACTGTGTTTACTTTCCCTCTTGTTCCTTCGCTGGCTCTTGGCGTGGTCCGAAATGAAAGTGTTCCGCGTCAGCCGAAACTGAGATCCGAAGACCGATTTGAAGAAGCGACGATATTTGCCGATCTTGATGATTGTGCCTTTTGTTTTTTTCTCCACCGCAGCCCGGACTGGGAATTCGTTCTCCGCGCTCTTGTCGAAACGCCCACCCAGAGCTTCAATTCCGATCCGGGCGGAAGCCTAACGTTGAGGGAATAGCAACGGTCGGTGTAACTTCATTTCGCTGCTAGATTCTCGGGGAGAAGCCTGAGGGGGAACGCGTTCGGCTACGACCCCTCATCTCACGGTTCACGGGGATTTCCGATCGAATTCGAGCGCGATTGATACCCGCGAAGATCCTGGCTCTTCTCCATCTCAGAAAGGAGGTGGGCGGCCTAGGCAGCTTCGATATCCAATAAAACAGCGGAAGTGTTGACCGACCTTTCCCAGACTCGTGTGTCGCGCTCGCGTCATCGTTCCCGTATGAGTGTGCGGATTGATTCCGGTTCAACGGGAAGCCATCAACGCCTAGCAGAAATGGAAACGCCTTGACATGACTCGGATTCTACGGGCAAAGTGAAACTCCTACGACTTGAATAGACCCCGAGCCGATAACGTGGGTAACTTGACACATTTTGCGATTGCTGCTCACTGGAAACAGTACCGTACCGAAACAGCAACCGATTGTCTTGTTCACTCCTGTGCTTGATCGCTCGGCGACCTGGCCCGATTGTTTCCGCGGAGATGATTCCCGAAGCCGTTCGTTTCCGACTCCGGGGCGCTGGGTCAACGTGGCTCGAATTGCTTTTCCAGCGGTAACGAGTCGTGTTCTTCGCCAAACGATACACCCTCGCTCTCTCGCAGAACCAGAGACGTTCATTGAGCATCGTTGTCTCGATTGGAAATTACGTGGCAGTATTTGATTTCATCGTATTCCCAACGTGAACACGGGATCCGACTCACTCGCAAATAACCAACTCCGATGCCGTCGGATCCGTGCGAGGCGTCCTCGAGACTCCCGCTACGGGTGGATGCCTCGAATCTTTTCCTCCTCAAAGTCTCCTGCTCAAAATCTTGCACCAGGAAATCGAAAACCCGACTTTCGTATTACTGCACTGTGTCAACGTGGCGGAAAACACAACGACAGAAGAATGATCCGTCGATCTAGGCGGCTACTATCAAAAAGCGTAGCTGTTGACCGTCGTAGACATCGGCTACAACGACGACGTTGTTGTTCGCTGTGGTCGTAATGACAGCGTGCGGGAGTTCTCGTCCGGGCGAAGTCAAGGTCCGAAGCGTGCTTCTGGTGGGTCCGCCGCCGTGGTCATCCGATTGGATGGATGCGATGCAACGGATGATGATACCGACAACCACGACAACTCGCAGCGATGACCTTCACAACCCACCTAACCTCCCACCGACGGGTGGGACTCGGGTGCGATGAGACTACGCTTCAAACCAGTGGTCGTGCGACGTACGGCTGGTCCTAACCACCGACGAGCCGCGCGAGGCTTGACGGACGCCGAAGCCATTGTCCGCGATACTCATCTCTCGTGTTTCATAATCGCTTCGACTACTCGAGTTATGACTCCGTCGCAAACCGCCATCGGGAGAGACGACAAACGAAACGTATGTGTAGCAACTTGCGAGTTGAGCATTCTGCTTGATGCTCGCGATGGTGGTAAATTACCTAGAAACGGAATTCCTGATGTCGGCAAGCAACGTGCCAGCATACGAAGCCGGCAACGTAGATGCGTGGAACGCACGGTAATCTCCCGAGGCAAAGTAACGGCAACTCTTTGCCCATATGGTACGCTGGCACACGGACTGTTCAGTTTCTGTTTTAAGTGCCTACCCCGTCCGCGTAGAGGCTCGTAAGTAGGCCGCGGCCGTTAGGCTGTTGACTGAGTTCGTGGCGTTCGTGGCTTTCGCGGCCGTGCTCGCCGACCTGCCAACGACAGCCGCGAAATGTCGCCGCATACCACAGTAATTGGGGACGGCCTCGAGCCTACTTCGAGAATCCTTCTACAACGTTAGTTTTAGGGTTCGGTGTCGTGCACCGGCAGACTTCTTGGGGTTCTCGTTCTTCGGCTTCCAGTGGCTGCAGAAAACACTGTCTCACCACTTGACCATTTGAGAGCTCGCTGGAGGGTTTCTCGATTAAAGCATCATCCATCAAGGTTCGGGAGCATTTCGTGGACGACAGCGGACGAAACTTCGACTTCGAGAGAACTTTCGACTTTGAAACGCATACCCCTGTCATCCGAAGCGAAGTCCACTCGACCTCAAGTCGCTGGAAGTGGTCATCACCGTCCTGTTTTTAAAAACGCGGTTTCGCTTTCAGTGGGTCTGTCGAGGATTTCGAGCCACTTCTCGTCAGAACCGCCGGTCGACTTCCACACACCTCGACCTAGTGCAGTATCGGTGCGCTGTCAGCGTCGTGTTGCGTCATTGACGTTTTTTCAAGCACGGATAGGAAACCCGCGCTGATGGAGAGCGACTCTGAACGTATTTTCGGCCATCGGTTCTACCCTGCTGCCTTCAAAATTACGGAGAACGAGCTCAGCGGTGGTCTGCGGTGACAATGCGACAGCATCGTCTTCGTCGTGAGAGCCAGCGGCCATTCATTACTGTTGCGTTTTCCTTCGCGATCGACCGCTCGCAGCCCGCCCACTCGCTGTTCGGTCTGTCGTCCGAATCGACTGCGATAAATCCCGGAATTTATTCATTCATTCGCCTTCCTAAAAATCTCCCCAATCTGGACTTCCGCGGGGCTCGGGAAACGCCACCGGGAGGCTTCGGAGGTAAAGACACACAGGGAAAGGACCGACCTCCGAGTCACAGAGCTCTCAGCTCCAGGAGCTTCTCTCGAGGAGGTACCATTTTCGCTCGTATCGGCCGTTTTCTCTGCTAGAGGAACAAAGTAGCCGGTGAGATCGCATCTGAAAGGCCATTGTCAAGTGAAGAGCTCTGCGAATTGAGCGCATGTTCCCGACTCGCATGGGGCTCTATCGATAAGACCGCATCGGTAGGCATGTTGGCTCCAATCGGTGTCGAGTTCGAATTCGCTCCGATACTTCCAATTCCCGATCCGCCTCTCGTCTTGGAAGTTCTACGTGCTCGTCCCGTTATCGCCGACAGATTCGACGACATTAATTGCGAATACCTCACCGTGTTCCAACGGGCTTCTAACGCCCGGCGGAGACTACGTCGACGTAGTAGTCCGGTCGTGTCTAGGATGTGTAGTGTAAGTTTAGGTAGTGCTCCGCTGGTGAGGGAGCTCTGCGTGAGAGGAATAACATCGACTGCCTTTTCGTCGTTATCTCGCGAATTCGGCCGAGTCTGCAGGTAGCTATGCAGGTCGGCAAGCAAACCGACGCTCAGACCTTGCTCACGGGCTCAGAATGGGAATTCCGGCCGGAGTTGGATCCCTATCGTCGGCGAGCCGATGACGGGGAGCCGCCAGTTGAAAATGAGGGGAAAATGAATTTCTCGGTGTCCCCCGGTGCTCGTGACCGCTCAGTCTGGCTGAGCCAATATTCCGAGCTCCCCGCCGAGGTTGGCGACCGAGCTGCGATAGAGGCAAATCGGAGACCATATTATTTTACCATATCTCTCTAGCATCAGAGGCCAGGAGATCTTCCGCTATTCTATGTATATTCTGTCTGATACTTTGCTCGGACGACACACTTCGCTGTCATTGAGCGCGGAAGATGTGCAATCCTCTTGCAATCTTACGGTTGTGAATGTCGAGCAGGGAGTCACCTTGCGGGAACTCATTGTTGTCGGAGTCCTGACTCATTTCCTTTGTTGGAGTCCTGACCCTCTACTATGCATAGGTGACCTAGAATGAGACAATGGCTGCCGGAATAAGACTCCGAGGTCAACTACGAGCGTGTGATATTCGAAAGCTTGACCAAGAGGAAAGAGATGCGAACAAGCTGCACGCAAATTATCCCCCGCGCATGCATAATTCTTCATGCTTACGATTAGAGCATTCGAATGGAGACTGTCGTCAAATTCTGACTTGACAATAAAAATCATGGGCCCTGCAATCTCAACGAGCCAACAATAGATGTCGGCGTCCTCTCCGATGACCTTCTCCGTGGAGTATTCCGTTGACGTTGAAAGTCGTCTCGAGGGATCCTTGTGGATCAACTGAGCGCGGCGTCACCTTGATTTCCGTTGAACTGTGTATCGTAATACTCCATTTCTGCCATCAAGGCTTTCGAAGAAGAGGATCTGATATTGAAACGCTC